CTGACGTAGGAATCTCACCATCAGTGTACAGGCTAAGGGCACTCGAGTCTTTCAAGGCCTGGTCCTGAACTATTCCTCTCCAGTGTAAAGGGAATTTAAAGCATTTAACTCACTACAGAGCATTGAGAACCAGGTATAATCCTCAACTCTCCTCTGGTGCTAATCCCAAATCTCCTTGAGATCCAGCCCTCCTAGTGTTCAAAGTCCTCGATCCAGGATTTCACCCTAGTTAACTGTTAACTTGCATCTCCCTCTGGCCATGACCTTTGCTCAGGTGTTTGCAGTGCCCTGAACCACACTGAACACTCACCATCACAGGGGTGCTGTACAAAGCATGAGGTAAGCCTGGGGCAGGGGCTGCAACTTCCTTGTCGCATTCATTTCCACGGTGGAAAAAGAAATAAAATACAAAAAAAAATGTTCTGCTCGCTGTAACTTTCCCATAGTAAATTCCTGGCACCCAAAACGTGCCAGGAAACAGGCAGTTTGTATTAAAAGCAGGGTAGATTTTCTAGGGGCTTTAAGAGTGGCAGATTCCCCGGAGCATTTGCCTGCATTTGTCACAGGACAAGGGAGAGGCCCTGTGGCTGCACAGACCCCGTTCCCCACACCCGTACACATCAGCTGTGCCCATCTCTGTGACTGAAAAATAATCAGATTATTTCTACTGCCTATTGAGCAGGAAGAACAGAAGTGGTTCTGATGTCTTCTTAAGGAAAGAGTGTAGCTATTCAATAAAGAAGGAACTTACACAGTAAATTCAGTAGATATTAATTTATTCTCTTGTGCATTTGAAGTCCAATCTCACAAAAATAGATGGACAGCATTACATGTGGTAATGATAAACAAACTACACTGCAATGAGACTTTAAGACAACATTTAAAGCTTGCTTTTTGTTCCCTGGAATTTGGGAAGTACTGCCAACACGTAGCTTATCCAAATCCTAAGAGGAAGGGCTGAGCTTTCATTGCTGATTATACTTAGCACAGCACTTGTATTTGAATTCTTCACCTCCACGCGCATCCTGTTCCTGCAGCAAGATTTCCTCAAACGCTGTTATTTATATTTTGAAAACGCTTTATAACATTTTTTTTTCCCTCTTCATTCTCTGCAATGTTTTTTCCTTTTCCTGCAGGGCAGTGGCGCTCAGGGCTGCAGGCCACACCCTGCAGAACACAACACACAACCGGGGGCACACGCCCTGCAGAGCAATGCGCTCGCTCCATTCCCAGCCCACCCCGCCACGCCAGCCTGCAAACTGAGTAAAATCAATCCAAACGGCCTGGGGTGGGCCCTGCCTCACAACATCCCAAACAAAAAGCCACGGGGCAGCTGTTGGCTGTGCTTTTACACACCTCTGTAGCAGAAGGGGAATAAGTGAATAAGCACTGACTAGGAGTCACGGCACATTCCCCATCGATGAAGGAAGCCCAGCTGACCCGAAGGATGAGTGTGTGCACACAGCTTTACCTTGGGCAAACAGTGCTGCTCATGACCCTGCACAGCACCTACACCAGGAGCCAGAGGCTAAAACAAAACTCAGCCCTGTGTGAGAAATCACAAACAGAGCAAAAAAGGAAATCGTATCTATGAGTGTCACAGGATGTTAGATCGGCCCAAACCGTGCTGAGCAGGTAAGGACTGAGGCTGCACTTTTCTGGGAAGAGAAAACTTCGAGAGTACAAAATTGAGATAAGTAAAATTCAGAGAATCATGGAATATGCTGAGTTGGAAGGATGATCCAAATCCAGCTCCTGGCCCTGCACAGCCCCAAAATCCCACCCTGGCATCCCTGGAGTGCTGTCCAAACCCTCCTGGAGCTCTGGCAGCCTCGGGCTGTGCCCATCCCTGAGGAGCCTGGGCAGTGCCAGCACCCTCTGGGGAAGAACCTTTCCCAAAATCCACCCCAACCTTCCCCTGGCACAGCCCCAGCCCTTCCCTGGCTCCTGTTCCTGTCCCAGGAGCAGAGATGGAAGCTGCCCCTCAGGAGGAAGTTCCAGGAGACCTCCCCTCAGTCTCCTCAAGGCTGACTTATCAAGGAATAATATAAACTCTATAAATTCATTTTATTAATGTGAAGTCAAAACTTAAAAACAGCATTATCAACTGGAGATGACGAATATCCCATTACATTAATCATATTACATTAATAATTTTACCTGCAAAAATAAATTTATTAAATAAATAACCAAGAAGATGATTCAAATAAAGCACTTTTTGGCCACGTTTTTTCATAGGAAGGAGGTACCAGTTTTGTTGTTGTGAGACATTAGTCAGGAACTCAGATAGACTCATCCATGATCTGATTTATCTGTAACAAAGTGATCTGGAATGAGGAAAATGCTCTTTTTTTGCAAGAAGAATTACGAACATGAATTAGGGCTGAAGGGATTTGTTTGGTAATTTAGAAATGAAGCTGATCTTACTCTGTAGTCTTAGGTGAGTCAGTTCATCCTCCTGTTTTGGTTTCTTGGTTGTTAAAGAGGTCTGAAACTATTGGTGTACTGGTTTCAGAGTAGCAGTTTGGCTCAATGAGCATTCCCAATGCAATTTGAAGAGAAATTACAGTTTTAAGTCTACTGCTGTCAGAAAAAGGTTGGTTTATTGCTCCCATGAGAAAGGAAGTTAACTTTTCCATCGGTTGTCAGTATCGGTTCGCTCATTGCAGTTCCAGTGGTGGGACAAGCACCTCAAATGAACCCCTTGCCTTTGGTTCCCATTCTAACACACACCATGAGCTCACTGCCCCACCCAGCTGGACTGGGGACAAATTCCTGTTCTTATCTCCAGCCCGATGGAAGCCTTATGTAATAAACAACATTGTGACGAGGGTCTTATCTCAGGGCATTAACTTCTTCTTCCCTTGGCAAGGATGTGAGCGAGCTGGGCCCCGCTGCAAAGCTGCTCTGAGCCCATTGCTCTCTCCAGTTTGACCTTTCAGTGGAAAATAAAATCAAATCCCCACAAGGCGAGCTCTCGCTGAACTGTGTTTTTGAGGCTCTAGGAGAACTCTTCAAGGCCACCTCCAGATTTATCTACTGTACAAGTGAAGAGCTTTTGTAAACCCTTCAGCACTCTCCTGGCTCCTGAGAGAGCTGATGCCTCTGCACAAGACAGTTAATAACAGCTAATGATGTGGGGGCCTTGCCAGGAGCGCTGGGTTGTGTAACCACCTCGGCAGGCACTGTTTGTTTTGGTTTTTTTCCACAACGATCATCCCCCCTGGCTACGCCTGTGCAATGGCTTGACCTCATCAGAGATGAGAATTGTCTCATTAATTTCACTGGGCTGCTCAGTTTTGGAGCACGGTGTGAAGTGCAGCAGGATGTCGTGGCTGGTCTGTTAGCAATCTGCTGAATGTGCTCGCACAATGCAGTCGGATAATTTAGGTGTCTGAGATCAAAAAAAATACCCCCAAAAGCCAATTAGGTATTTTCATCTATTCCCTGGGGGCTTCTGGGGGATAATGCTGTGTTATCTCATACTTGGGATTCCTCCAGTTCAGTTTTTATATTCCCAGCATGAATTATTATCTCTTTCTTTGAATGAAAATGGTATCGATTAACAGCTCTGCCTCTTCAGTAATTTTCCCCTGCTTGTTTCAATCTGATTTTTTTTTTAACTAGGTATGGGCCTCATTTCTGTGAAGGGGAAAAAATGGAAAGATGTGCATCTCTAAGTAAAGGAATGATGACAGCAGGAGGAGGAGAAAGAAAGGTACAGAATCAATTAGAAATGCAGTATACTGCATACTCAGACTGCTGTCATTTCACTTTCTCTTGCCCTGCTTTTAGACTTAAAGGCATGAATAGTTGTATTTTGTTCCTGCACTGCATGAGAGTGACAGTGATTCTGAACACAGCAGCAGCCACACTACCTGCAGCAAAGCATCCCTGAGGGAGCTGTTAACTGGTGACACAATTATGGGAACAGGGATGGTGCATGGAGCAGGGCAGGATTAACCTCGTGCACTGCACTGGACCTGCCAGGGAAGCAGTCAGAAAAAGGCATGCAGGAAAAATTGAAAGACTGGGGAAATACATAATCTAACAAATGGGGAGCCTTTTCTAACTTTAATCCCTTGTCTCCAGTAAAATTGCACCAAAAAAAAGATTTCCAAGATCAGGTGAAAGAGCTGTGCTGGCCCTTAAAAGGAGTTTATCATAGAATTATGGAATGGTTTAGGTTGGAAGGGAGCTTGAAGCTCATCCAGTGCCACTCCTGCCATGGCAGGGACACCTTCCACTGTCCCAGGTGCCCCAAGCCCTGTCCAGCCTGGCCTTGGGCACTGCCAGGGATGCAGGGGCAGCCCCAGCTGCTCTGGGCACCCTGTGCCAGGGCCTGCCCACCCTCACAGGGAACAATTCCTTCCTAATATTTGAGGTAAACTGAAAGGGTGCCCAGGGATGGAGTGGTGAGTGCTTTTCCTTCCTCTGCGGGCACTTGGAGGGACCTTGCCCTGTCTGCAGACACAGCCCATGGTGCTGCCCCCGACACACGCTGGTATTCCTGTGATGCTGAGAGAGCCAAAGATGCTGGACAAAGCCTGAAAGACCTCCACACTCCGGTCTGGAGCCCCAGGAGTGGCTGAGAGAGCTGGGAAGGGGCTCAGCCTGGAGCCAAGGAGGCTCAGGGGCCCTTGTGGCTCTGCACAGCTCCTGCCAGGAGGGGACAGCCGGGGAGTCTGGCTGTGCTCCAGGGAACAGGGACAGGAGCAGAGGGAACGGCCTCAGGCTGGGCCAGGGCAGCTCAGGGTGGGCACAGCAGGAATTTCCCCATGGAAAGGGGGCTCAGGCACTGGAACTGCCCAGGGAGGGTTGGATCCCCATCCCTGGAGTGTCCCAGGAAGGGCTGGAGGTGGCACTGGGTGCTCTGGGCTGGGGACCAGGTGGGGATGGAGCACAGGCGGGACCCGATGATCCTCGATCTCTCTCCCAACCGAAATAACTCCGTAAATCCGTGCTGCCAGCGCCCTGAGAGCCGCGGGGCTGAGCGGACCCTGCAAAGTGCGGGAGCGCCGCGGGGCTTGGGGCGGCCCGCATCCCGCATCCCTCACCCCGCATCCCGCATCCCGGATCCCGGATCCCCGAGCGCCGTGCCGCCGCTCCGTAACCCGGCGGCGGAAGCCCCGGCCGGCCCGGCCGCCCAATGGGCTGGGGCTGCGCGGCGCCGGGGCCGCGGCCGGGGCCGTCACTTCCTGGCCCTGCAGCCGCCGGCAGCGAGGCCACAGCCGGGGCCGGGGGCGGCGGCGCCCGCAGCCCGCCCGCACCGCCAGCACCATGCCCTTTGACTTCAGGAGGTGAGTGTCGCCGAGAGTCGCGACAGAGCCCGCCCGCCCCGCGGGGACCGCCCGAGCCGCCCCGCGCCGCTGCCCGCCCGCCGGTGCGCGTGGGGTGGGCGGGTGGATGATGGATGGATGGATGGATGGATGGATGGATGGATGGATGGATGGATGGATGGATGGATGGATGGATGGACGGACGGACTGTGCGCAGGGAAGGGATTGGGGAGGCTGTGCCCAGCTCCACAATGCGGTTCCATGCAGCCGAAGGGGGTGTGTGCAGCTGGGGTTGCCTGGGCAGGACCTGCGGGGTGATGGATGCGGGTGTTGGGTGGAGGTGCTGGGCTGCTGCTCCTCCCGCAGTGTCTGGGGTCTCACTTCTTGTGAGAGGGGTCACTCTTTGTGGTGGGGCTCCTGCAGCACCTTTAGAAGGTCATGGCAGCTTTAGGGCATCATTGCTTACAGTGGTGGGGCTCCTGCAGCACCTTTAGAAGGTCATGGTGCAGCTCCCATGGCAGCTTTAGGGCATCATTCCTTACAGTGGGGTTCCCATAGCAGCTTCAGAAGGTCATTTCTTATGGTGAGGTTCCCACAGCAGCTTCAGAGGGTCATTTCTTATGGGAGGGTTCCCACAGCAGCTTCAGAGGGTCATTTCTTATGGTGGGGCTCCCACAGTGGCTTTAGGGGTCGCTGCTTAGGGTGGAGCTCCCAGAGCATCTTTAAGGGGTCCCTCTTTGCAGCCAGGCTCCATGTGCCAAAGCTGTGCCACGTGTCTCATGGCTGGGAGCCAATGTCGACGCCTCCACCTCTGGTTTTGCCATTTTGGGCAGGTGCAAGTTGTAGCATTTGGCCTTTCTGTGCGGCTCCTTCATCCCCTGGGCCATTGGAGGCACTGCCAGGTACCAAAGCAGAAGTGAAAAAGACCCCTCTGACTTCACTGCAGCCAAAATAGAAGGTGCAGGTTCATTTTCTTTCTTGAACCAACAATTTGCATCTTTCCAAGTTCAGAGATGCCATGGGGAAGATGCTCAGATGAGTCTTCTAATACAGATTTTACTACATCGTTAATAGTACAATAAAAAATGCATACATTTTTGGGAATATGCAGTTAACTACAGTCCTTTCCATGTAGGATCATCATGACCCCTACATGTGCACCCCTTCGAGATGGGAAATGGTGATAGTGCAGTGTTTTATTATATTTTTGCTGTAATTCTAAACCAGGCCTCTCATTTATACAGGCTAACAGGATCTTGTGTGATCCATGGGGCATTGTTGAACATGGAGGCAGTTGCTTCTGAATGAAAACTTGCTGAAGCTGGAAACAGCATCTGCTGGATCATGTGGGATCCGGGGCCCAGAGCCTCATTTCTGCTTTTGTGTAAAATTTGATAGAAAAACTCTTCTTTGGAGACATTCTGCCAGCTGCGAATCCTATTGCCATCCATTTTCAGACTTGTAAAATACATGAACAATAAGAGATCCTGGGCTGTGGCTGTCACTTTGTAATAGCAGATAAAGAAAATGTTATTTCTGATGTCTTTGAAAATGTAATTTCTGTTGGGTCTCAGAATGTGCATGTGGAAACATTGGCTCACCAAGAGCATAATCATCTTAAGAGACAGCACTAGTGCTTCACTTTGGGATGGAAAAAAGATGTTCAGTAAAAACTGAATAGCAGGGTTTGTGTTAATGAGTTACAAAAACAGAGACATCAGTTCAGATCTGCATTTTAAAGATTCACAATTGCAAATAACTTCTTTGTCATTCAGAGTGGAGGATTAGAAATAGACACTTCAAAGCTCTTTCTCAAATAACGTAAGCTCACTGAACTTCAGCTTTTCTGCAAGGATGAATTTTTCAAAAGCTGCCATTGATAACAGGAATTTCCTATCTGAAGTACAGAGGAGCTATTGTCACGTGCAGCAAGCCACTTTCCTGCTTTAGAAGCATGAACAGAGTTCAGGACCAGAAGGTTTGCAAAGGTTAGAGCCCTTTTTAGCTGTTGTGGGTTTTGTTCATAGTGTAGGTAGTGGAAAAAAATCTGCTGAGGCTGGAAAATTTTACTGTTGTAGGTAAAGTATGATGCACACATTAAAAAAAACCACACAGGTACTTCCTGACAGCTCTACAACATGCAATACAAGGCTCTTGGAGAAAAAAGGTCACCGCCTTGAGTAAGTTTCTGAATGAAAATGCCATTTTCACCATGTAAATGTCAAGGATTTTCTCTCAGGGATTTCAGCAGGATGCTCCCTTTGGCAGGTACAGTTTGGTACCCTGCCTTTTACATGCCTGTGTGTGACCAGGGGTTTGGATTGTTAGGAGACTTTTGGAAATGCCCCTGCATATCTTCTAGAGTGCAGAATTCCATGTGGAAAGGTGTTGTGTCCTTCTGGAGGCCACACACTTCACGTTGCATCTGAAGGAATTCTGGCCTTAGCTGCTCTGCCAAGGACATTTGGGAAGGCAAGGCTTTGTTGGTTTGGTATCCTCCCCTCTCTTACAGCTTTATTTTTGGTGTTTTAGGGTGGCAGGATGGTGAGAGCTGGCACCAGCTGTAGAGAGGGGCATTGTAGAGCAGCTGCAGCTTTTGGCTTTGAGCTGTTTCCACACAAAGTAGCTCCAGTTGCCCAAACCTCATCTGGAGATGATGGAGGCACAAATGACAATTAATTAAAACAGCCCAGGACCAAAAATGTCCCTGTTCTTCACCAACTAAAAGTCAAAGACATCATTTACTTCCATGGGACTAAATCTCTTTGCTCTGTCTTAAACTTAGCTAGATTGAAGAAGCAAAATTGCTTAAGAGTCTTTCTTGGACGTTGTCTCCATCAGTCAGTCTCAGATGGAAGTAGCTTGGTTTGTTACTTGTACTTTTTTTGTACATTTTTTTTCTGTAGGACTTCTGGTTTTTTGGCTTATCAGTGGTTCCCTTTCCTAATACAAACTTCATTTAATTCATAAATAAACCAATATTTTCACAGTAATCTCACATGAATAATAATTATTCTGTGTCAAATGTCTTTAGAGTTTTAATAATACTCAGTATTTACCTCATGCTTTTCATTTTTCAAAGCACTTAATTCAGACTAATCCCCCCAGTCCTGCTGTGATGTTGGTAGAGAACCAAGTTTTCAGCTTCCAGATTGGAGCCTCAGTACAGGTCTGTTCAGTGCATGTCACAAGAACCCAGCCCTCCTACAGAACTACTAAATCAGTTTTTATTTCCAGCAGGCCTGCTTCTTTCATATTTTTTAACACCCATTTGGCTGAAAGATAAAGACAGATTTTTCCCTTCTTGCCCATGTCCTGGTTTTTAGAACTTGTGTCAGCAAAGCAGCTTTGGATGTGTTTGATGGGGGATTTTGAGTTCTCTCACTGGAGCTGAAAGGGTATTTCCCCTTGGAGCCTTTTAGATCTGGTGTCACACTTGCAGCCTCAAATCATAATTAGATTAAACTCTAAGCCTGGGTCATCTTGAGTGGTGATTGAGAGGCAGCCAGGATGGATCCCACATGTTGTGTGATCCTGTTAGCAGGAGGCTGAGCTGGTGCTGGGACTCCAAACTGCTCAGGTGTTGAGAGTGACACAAATAAAAATGAGAATTGCAGCTGTAAGAATGAAGTGACTCCCCTGCAGTAGAGGAGAACATGGTGAGGAGAAGCATTGCTGCAAAGTCTCTTGACTCTGGTGCCTTTTCTTTGCACCTGCCTATCTGCATGGAAGAGTTACTGATGGGTTTGTAAGATACTGAAACTTCTGAACCATCTTGCTCACTTTAGTTGGTTACACTGAGAAAAACTAAAATAGACCACTCTGAAATCAAGTTTTTGTTCTAATCTTGGGTAATTCCCAGTTGTGCCCTGGCCAGGTGTTTCACACAGAGTGGCAAATATCTGTGAATCCTTATTTTTATGTTTAATTGAGAAATTCAGAATTTATTTCCCACAGTTAATCACTGTGATGTTTTCATTAGGGTTTTTTTATTGTTCCTTGTTTGGTTTTGGGGTTTGGTTGGTTTTTTTTCACAATGTGATAACCTGTACCAAGGTAACAGTGTGCTGTACCCGGATTTTGGAGGTCATGGGAAAGGAGCCAGGCTTAGAAAGGATTTAGATTTAAATGCTGACCTAGAGTAGAAGGCAAAAACTTTTATTCCATCTGCACAGTGTGACAGGCTCCCACTGTCAGCTGTTCTTTGGCATGTCTGTGATAAATGGTATTTTAGTGTGGGTGTGCTGATTCAGACCTATGGATCATTTTTATTGTTTTGGGACACAGGCAGGTCTTTGCTGTAGTTCCTGAAGGTTTTCTTTTAAATCAGATTGTTCAGTCTTAACCAAAGCTGACACACTCCAACCTTCCTGCTCTTAGCAAAGGGAGTTTGTTTGGTTTTAAATTAGACCTAAAAATTGTGATGGTGAATAGCAAACTGATGCTCACACTTGTGACCAAATAGAGCTGTGAAATCGATTCCTGACCAAAAGAAAAATGAGGGGACCATGAAAGACTCTTTTGTTCCTTCTTTTCAGAAACCTGAAGACTAAAATCAAGTTATTTGCCTTAACAAGTGAATGAGGAGGTGTCTGAGGGGTGCTTAGTTTGGAAAAGATTTTTCTCTGTAGACTCAAAATCACCTAAAATGCCCTGGTTTGTGCTCATTAATCTGGGCAGGAATCGATTTCACAACTGTGCCAGGTCACAGGTGTGAGCATCACTCTGTCCATTCCCCATCACAACCCTTAGGTCTAATTTAAACCCAAACATACTCCCTTTGCTGAGAGCAGGAAGGTTGTAATGATTTTGTCCAAAATACTAATTCCTGTATTTGATTGAGCTTGTAGCCATCACTTCCTAAATCAGTGTCCAGGGGCCACAGCACAGCTCTGGTCTGGGTAGTTACAGATTTACAGAATGACAGAATGACAGAATATTCTCCATTGGAAGGGACCCACAAGGATCATCAAGTCCAACCCCACGACCTTGGCATTATTGGCAGCATGCTCTGACAAACT